GGCAACAGCATTGATTATAACTCGGACTGTAATATTATAGCCAAATATATATAAGTGTGGTCGCTTTTTGGGTGGAAAGCTCTTTATATGTAGACATATACATATACACATACATATATATAAAGTCGCCAGAGGCCCGTTTTCGTGGCCACGTCATGCGGCTGCTGCGGCATCTGCTGTTCATTTTCATTTTCCCCCTTTTTTTTTTTTTTTTTTAACCCACATCGCATACTTCCGTTCACCCAAAAGAGCAGAGGGCTAACGTGTGAAGAYATGTGCATGGAAATTAAAATAACATTAGGTCAAGCGACCGTGAAAAGGTTTTTGCAGAAAATAATAATGAAATAAGTGTGAGCAAACATTTCTAATATGCGCTGCTCTAGCCAAAGCTTAGCAGAGCGTTAACAGGACTGAAATAAATATTGAAATAAATGAGCAGCATTTATCTAGAATATTATTTGGGAAAATTTGCTTTAAAACAAATAGTAAATCAGAGATTAACTTAGATTTACTAAAACTCCTCAACTGCTAAAGTCAAAATAAAGACAACTGATTGAAAGTGCTCAAGCTGAAGAAATGAATAGATGTATTGATTTAAGCATTTAAAAAATACTAAAATAGTAAGCGTAAGAAAATTTAAAATGATGCAAATACGAAAAAAAAAAAAATGAAAACCAACAATAACGACAAAAATCAGAAAAAAAGAGGAAAGAACAAAAGAAGAACATCTGTAGTAATCATATTCATAAATCCATTAATAATTATAAGGGGGAGTATAATGAATTTAGGAAATGTTATGTAATAGGCAGAATTCGAAGGATGATTTTGGTAAAACTACAAAAATTTCTGAAAAGTTAATTCGATAACTTTAATTGAAGGAAATTTTTCGTGAAGTTTCGTATCGCAAATTCTATTAAATTTTACTTTTAATTTATCTCTTTATGCAAACAAATCATAAATACAATATATGGATGCAAAACATTTAAATAGCAGACTTTTAATAAAAATCTGGCAATTTTGACCTATATGAGCAACTGATTCATATTTATATATTTTTAGCATATTTCTAAGTTTATTTTTCTGTGCATTTTATTACAAGTTTTTTTTTTTTCTTCATTTTTGCCAAACTTTATTTGGATGGAGCCACAATTAGGTCGATGCCTGGACATGCAAGACTTAAGCAAAGTTTGTTTTTTCTGCTCCTAAATAAAGTAAGAAAAACACATTTTATGCAAGTGACATCCACAGATACACACACACACACACACATACACATACACTTAGTAATAACAAGCAACTTGTTTGTGTCATGTGCAATTAATAACAAAGCAAATTACCCAAGCAAAATGAAACAGAAAGTAGCTCGTTTGCATGGTATACAAGCTGGGGCAGTATTACACAATTTTCAACGCGTAATTAGGCCGGCTCAGCGTAGCCATTTATTAACACTGGCCAGCACAATTAGGTCAGAGGCTAAGACTATGTACGTAGCCCTTTGGGCAGTCTTAAGGCAAACAAACAGCTTGCCAAAACAGATTTAAAATTACCTAAATGTCGAATTTCAGAAGTGAAATTATAACTGGCCTTTTGCTTGTTCCTCTAGCGAACACTTAAAGTTAATTCGTTTCGTTCCGAGCAATATAACAATTCGATAGATCATTTCATATAAAAAGCAAGCAATATATTCACATTTCAGCCTGCGCGAGGGGCGGTGGGTGGTGGGCGAGGCCTGTTCCATTCTTTTGCACTCCACTGAGTGCGTCATTCCAGGCGCCAACTGATAACAAAGCCGTATTTTTGGGGACAAACAGACAAGCAACACCTAATCCCAGCTGCCGCTCCGGACCCAACGGCTCCTCGTTTAGTTTAACGGAACGACCTAAATTGTAGCCAAACAATTTGTTTTTGTTTTGTTAGCCGCTCTGAATGGGCGCACTCTCAGCCAAATGCGCCACTAATCATTTGTTTAATGATTGTAAAGAAATTTGCAATTTATATAGCAGACGCAGACATTGAGAGCATTTGGGATAAACAAAACTCTTTAAACGTTTTGCCAATTAAATGGAAAAAACAACAACAACAACAACTACAACAAAGTAAAGTAATCATAGAGTTAAACCGGAAAAGCCGAAATCAGTTTATGCGGTTTACACAACTGTTCAACTAATTACCACAGCAAACATTGTTGAAGCTTTAGTTTGCCGCTGTTGTTGTTGYCCTTTTCGTTTCAATTTATTTCGCATTATTTTTATAAACTTGTTGGCCAGCAAAAAAAGAACAGTTTTTAATTGCAATGCTATATGTATGTGTGCGTATGCATGTATATTTATAAAAATTCACAACTAGTTGAATTCACCACAAAACCCGAATGCGATTACAGCAAAAAGTTGCAGAAATTCTCTGTAAATTTGTTCATTATTCGATTGGACGCTGAGCAGCTTTTTCTTTAAAGTTAGCATTTTGAAACAACTCTAAATGAAACTAATAGTAATAATAATAATAATCATAATAATATACGCCCAAGCCACTTAGTGGGCCAACAGCTTGAGGCAGCAGCTGCTGCTGCTGCCACTGCTCCTGCTCCTGCTCCTGCTGTTCCTACTCCTGCCAAACTATTTCAAGGCGAAACTATTTCAGCAAATGCTTTCGAGCTCGACTAAAGCGTTTTCATAAAAAATTGTAACTTATGCGAGCATTTTCAGCTGTGTGTGTGTGCCTGTGTGTTTTCATTTAGTATTACATTATTTACATAATAAATACTTAGCAATAATTTGTTATGCTTTGCGTAAATTTGGTGCCCAAGGCGAAAAGCTGGCTGCTCAAATACAAGACGGATACAAAACTGCGTGGAAAATGGCAAAGGGAAGCATGAAAATGGAAATGGTATAAAGCTCAGTGCGTGCCGCAAAAGTAGGCGTAGACGCGAGTGGGCGTTATTGTCAGCCTGGAGGAGCCGAAGCGTGCACAATGCAAGAGAGACTTGAGTGTTTTTTTTTTTATTATACATTTTTTTATTTGTATTATAATTTTTTTTTCTGTGGAGCCATCTGCGGCATTTTTCGTTCCGCCATTGAAAATTGGCCTCGAGCAACAAAGTTGATTTGATGCGGCCACATCAACTACGTGCCCCGCCAGCCAGGATCAATTTATTAATTTAAAGAGCAAGCAGATAAATTAGGCGCATTAAAATAAATGCAACATTTTGACAGCATCTGCAGACAGGGAAAATAAACTTGGCTGGGCACTTACTTAGCTTAAAAGCAGCTACATTTCATATATTTTGTACTACTTGCTGGCCACATAGCAGGAGCACACAGCCAACCAAGCAAGTTTGAGAATGCTGGTACTCAACCTAGGATCTCCCAGACACCGCCAAGCATTGAGGTCGAGTGCAGTGTGTGTCGCGATTTCACACTATCAAAAACAAAGTCGAGGCTAGGGCAGCCACAACCACAGCCACAGCCACAGCCACATGACAATAGTCAAGCACTCTCCAGCCCATCAGCAGCAAGGGCATTTCAGGCGAAGAGCGCCAGCTGCACTTGAAGCAGCATATGGGAGAGCAAAAATCGCATCCGTGTTGCCGTGGACAACGGCGCTCAACAGGCGTGGAAGTCTGTCATCATGTCAAGTCAAAGTTGCGGTCTCGGCTGCAGATTGCACCACCCAGGGCTGGCAACTGCTACATTGATCCACACGCGTAACAAAATCAAATCAAGCTGCCCTAGCAGATCAAAGACCTAACGGATAACAACGGCCAATAGTTCAGGTGTATTTGCCGTTTCGGCATGAATTTGCTGCCATGTTTTGCCACAAACTCTGAGATGTGGCTCTGCTGACCGCAACAGTCGAAGCCCTCAACCACCTCAAGGCATCAATACCAGCTATACTCGCTCAGCAGATTTGTGGTTTTGCTTAATGTGGTTGCCTAGTACCTGGATCTTCTTCTCCTTCTTCTTCCTACTGATTTTCCTAAAAGTTCAGCCAACTGCAGCTTATGTTTACCTCAACGCTTGCTTGGAATTTGTTATTAAAAGTTCCTCTGATGTTTTATTTAAATATTATATAAATATATTTATGGTTAATAAATCTGAAAATAATCAAAGCTTTAATTATTCATACACCTAACTTGCAGAGCATTTAATTATGGAAAATTTGGTAATCAGCCAATGGTAATCTTATCTTGTTGCACATTTAAATGCAATTCAATTGAAGCTGCCAATTAATGTCTTTGAGTTAAATTGCAACTCATATATTCGAAAACATTGTCTTTGGGCTACATTTGGGCGCATTCAAGTAAAATTAATTTTCATTGTAGTTCGCACGCCCTCATTGAAAATCATTGGCTAATCGCTGAACAGGCAATAATATACTAAATCATCTGATCTGAAATCGGATATTCAATTGAGCAGAGGTCGGCTGTGGACATGCGATATGCATAAGCATAACTGCGAGCATTATGTTGAAATATATATACTTATCTCTATATAAATATATGTTTATGTATATACATAGATATATAAACTAGAAGAAGAGAGAATTAATGCACATTAAGTTATTTCTTATCAACTACATCTATCAATTTATACAAATACCTATTCATTATTAGATTAGGAAAGAGAGAGGGAGAGAAAGAGAGAGCAAGAGTAACGCCTAAAAAATGAATAATAGCCACAAATACTGAAGTAACAAATACTTAAAAATCAAATCAACTAAAAAGAAATTTGCAGATTGGTTTCTTTTAGTTTAATAAACGAAATATTTTAGCCGCAGAGTTAAGCTATTCTATAGTATGCGCCGCATAGACTATTTGTCTGGCAATCCGGATCATTTACAGCATACGGCACAAAGTAGGCGCTTGCAATTTGATTATCTAACTTTCTCATTCACTCTCTTTCTCTTGCTCGCTCTCTCATCTGTCACTGACGTATAATTAAAGGAACAGAGAGCTGATTAGACGAAAATCTCATTCATGTCTTCATTCTTGACCTATTTTGCAGCACTGGCAGCAAGTGCCACGACCCTTGGCGACAACTCATCGCTAATTGCGGCAACGAATGGGGCAACAGAGGCTGCCACAGCTGCCACAGCCTTGCCGGGCAATCAGTTGGGCATTGAGCCAGAGAGCAGCACCACGGAACAACAAGCGGCGGATACTTGGAGTGAGCGCCCCGATACGGCAACACTGACAAAAGGCTTCTCGATACCCACGTATTTGCCACCTTTTCCGGATTTCATTGCTGCTGATTTGCCACAGACATCGTTGACAACGATGACAGACTCAGCGCAGCTGGGCCACAATCCAATCCCCGCGGTCCTGGACATTGACGACATGAACTCCATGCAATCGACTCTTAATAAGCAGCAGCCACAGCCACAGCCACAGCCACAGCCACATATGCGTCTGCATGCCTACGATAGTGAACAAAAGGAGCAGCAGCTGCGGCGAGAGAAGGAGCTGGCACGTGAGCGGGAGCAGCTGCCCCGTCGTCATCTCAGTTTGCCATCTCGTAACGTTACTGTGCAGGCCGGCCAGCATGCCTACCTGCCGTGTCAGGTGAGTGGGCGGCAAGTTAATTATCTTGATTGAAATGCCATATCCTTTCGGCCATTACAGCTGCATCAGCACTCAAACAAGCCGCTCTCCTGGATACGTTTACGGGATGAACATATCATAGCCGTGGATCACACAACATTTATCAATGATGCACGCTTCGCAGCGCTACTCCAAGCCTCCCATGCTAACCTAACCAGCAGCCTATTGGAGTTTGTCAATGGCAGCAGCAGCAATGGCAGCAGCAGCAACGGCAGCGGCAGCAGCCTTGGCTGGACGTTGCTCATCAAATATGTCAATCTGCAGGATATGGGCTGGTACGAATGTCAGCTAGCCACAGAGCCCAAAATGAGTGCCAAAGTGCAGCTCTTTGTGATAAGTAAGTCAGCCAACTACAATTTCCAATCGACTGACTACAGACATGATTAAGCACGAACTCCTAACACATTGACAGAAGCAAGGCGCACAGTTGCTTGTTATCTTAAACACATAAAATTCGCATCAAATTGTGGACATCTTTTATCTTGTTACTCGCAATAATTCATTATTCATACAATAACAACAAATCCCACAGATGAGAAATGATTTTCACTTACCTCAATCCACAGCACCAAAAACGGAACTTATTGGTGATAAGCAGCGTTTCGTAAAGGCCGGCAGCCGAGTGGAACTGCACTGCATTGTGCGTGGCACCTTGGAGGCACCAAAGTATATTGTCTGGTATAGGGAGAAGCAACAGGTGATGTCTGAGAACGAGGCGAGCGGCACCGAGAATGGCTGGTATACGCAAATCGATCGCAATATCTTTGGCAGCACCGAGCACAATCGCAATACGGTAAGATCCATAACTATAAGAGAGTAGAGTGGATCTATAGAGAATTTTGAAACACACAGATTGGCAGCCTAATCATACCCATAGTGCGTAAGAGCCATTCCGGAAACTACACCTGCGAGCCGGAAAACAGTGAAGCAGTCTCCATACAACTGCATGTGCTTAGCGGTAAGCTATCAAATGCCTATACATATACATATGTGCATATATGTATGTGCATATATGTACATAGACATAAGTATGTATATCTAATCTATAATCACTCCACTGCAGGCGAATATTCCGCATCAGCAATCATGTCCGCCGCAGCTGGATTGTATAAGCACGGCCATGTCTACAACAGTTTCCATCAATGGCTCATATTTCTGCTATTGGCCATTCATAAGACATGAGCATCAGCAGCGAGGTCATCCAGTTGGAGCATTATCTGTTTAATAATACTGATAAGATTAACATATAGGTAAATTGCACACTCTTTTAAAGTTAAATTACAAATTACAAACACCAGTGGAAGTGTTTGCGACGATTTCTCACATCATTTCAACACCGTATTTTATACAATTTCTAGATATAATATGTCATGTCCTTTGTTATTGTTTTTGAAATTAGATTGCTAAGCATTTTTAACTTTAAGCATTCAATTGTGTTAAAGACAAAGATATTCGCGTAAATAAAGCCAAAGGCGTATTAAGTAAGAATCTTAAAATTCAAGGAAAACTATTACTTTCATTTACCCCGAAAAGCTGAGCAGCCAGAAAATGTCGCAATTGGATTTTATTAAACTAGATGCGTTTATAGCAAGATGGTTAAAGCAAGCTAGAAGGTTAAACTGGATTCCACTGAAAATAAAGCGAATTCGACGCAACACAAGAGTGCTTTAAATTTTTTATTAGAATAGTTTTACAATGCTCTCTTGTCCTCTTTTGCTATCTCTAAATGTGGATTAAGAATTGTCGTCACTTTGCTGTAAAAGGAGTCAATATTTTATTTTAACAACTAAAACTTACCTTTAAAGGTACAGAGCTAGGTAATACCAGTGAAGAAAAGAAACAAAACACATTTAATTCTCTCTTAACACACTGCTCTATTTGCACAGTGCCCGCTTAGCGGAACGATTGACAGGAGAAACGCAGTAATACACTCTCTTATTCCGCTGATACTGCTATAACGGGATATAAAACATTGCTGTATGCTCTCTTATTCATGTGTACTCTCCCTGAATAAATCACGTCATGCTAACCGCAGAGAAATGCTCAGTAAAAGCAATGAAATGTCACTGAATAAATCTATGTAAAAGAAGAACGCATTTACTAAAATGTTCACTAGGCTAACAAATACACTCAGCACACACGAATCACGACTTCGGTCTTGTAATTAATTTAATTTTGCTAAAATTCAATTTAATGTACTTTGATCGCGGAAGATGTGGCTGTCCCACAGGATAAACACGCACTGCCTAAATTGATTTATGCAGCGGGTATTTAAGCTAAGCCGTCACACTAATACGATAATAGCAAAGACATAAACCATTCCGCTGACGGGCCTAAGCGCTTTAGCTGAGTGCTGAGCAAAAGTATGGACATCGAAAGCGCTATTACTAATTCATTAATTTAATAGACATTAATTTTAAAGACACCTAAAATTAAACATCACTGTACTATGAGCATAGTGTGCATTAATAACTCAGCAAACAAAACATCGAAATCGACGCGTTTGGGTTAATTCAACTATGCTCTAATTTGATTTCACATACACTGAGCGCCAATAATTTGGCCGATCGACAGGACAGACACACATTGACTAATTAGAATTACTCGGTTCACGCCTGCTCTAAGCATAGACAGCAACCATTATATTCACTTGCCTGAGCACATTCGGTTGACTGCTCCTCAACCGGTAACGGGATCAAAAGCATTGACTGCAGAGAGCACAGTATAGACTCACTGGTTCTCTGCTATGCTCACTGTTTTCTCCTCAATGAGAATGTTATTAAAGCACTTGAAGTTGTATTTGCATTTCGAAACTACATTGCTGACTAACACTTTAAGAGAGCGCAACGCCCTTCTCTTTATTACTTGTTACTTCATGTTCTGCTTTGCAGGTGCAGCTGCAGTTTAAGTTTTCCAATTCTATTTCGAGCAACCATAAATTTTCTTAAGCGTGGTTCTTGAAACTTTTTGTAATTTTTTTTCTAGCCTCAATTCAAACTTATGAACTACATAGTTACCATATTTTATCAGGCAAATTATCTGCGTACACACTTACCATATAAATCTATTTATATAGGCACATTTCAAGATGCAAATAAAATTAAAAAATAAGAGAAAACGAAAACGAACGAGCCGTAATTCAGGTCGAAGTAGATGGAGAAGAAAAGTTGCATATTGTGAGGAAACTGCTGACGCCTTTTGTTTTGCTTTTCTTTTGCCCTGTGGAATCTGGCTTTATAATTTTCCGCGCTATTCTTGATTGTCGTCCCCACGGCTCTGCCTGCGAGCCGAGTCGAGCTCATTTATCAACGCGGCTGACCAAAGCCAAACAGAAGAGGAAAGATGGTAGAGGAGGAAGAGGTGGTGAGAGGGGGCAAGAGAGGCAGAAGCGATAGCTAAAGTTTTATGGCCAACTTTGAATTTTCTTGCCACATTTTCACCTTGCGCTTTCCGTATTTCCTCGCCACAGCCACTCAACAAACAATTTACAGCTGGACAGCGGAAAAGCATCTGGCATAAAAAGGCAAAACTTACAGGTGAAGCGAGTAAAGCTGAGACCTAATCACTTTTTGATTTATTTGGAGCTTAAACTTCGGCCGGCATTTGTAAAGGTTTCCATAGTTAAGCAAAAAAAAAAAAAATTCAAAAATGTGAAAGCAATTGAAACTAAATTTATCAAATACTAAATGCAAATCCATATATAGAGCTATTTTCCAGAAAAAATTCTACTTTTGCAAATGACAAAATAAATGTGAAAACCTTTTTGTTACACTTGTTAAAAATTTTTTTCTTTTTTGTTTAAAACTGAATAAAATTTAATAGCTAGAAAATTGAAATAAATGTATGTTTCTATCGTCTGATTTCAAGCATCACGCATTATTTTATGCCCAGGTGCAGAGCGAACGAAGCTCATAATATCCACCCACCTGCCGCCCAGAGTCAGGCCGCTCGGCCGTTTTAACAATTTTGGGGTCACATTTTTGTGGCTGTAAAGTGTTTAAAAGTTTGCGAGAAACTTGTCTCGAAACTTTCGTCAAGGAAATTTAAATAAGAAGCAGCTCATAATCTTTGCCTGTCCAATTAACTCTCCTGGCAGGCGTCACATACTCGTATATCCAAAAACTTGTTTAAAACAAGACGGCTATAATTAAATGTTCAAGTTGAAACTTATTTCAGTTGCAGTTGTACGATTTAGGAATATTTGAATATTTGATATACCTCAACGAAACTTTTAACAAACTTACAGATTTTTGATCCCCCATAATTGAAAACTTTATTTTACATATGTATATGTGTTTAGGACCAACTGAATTAAAGTTTTTTTGTTTTTGTTTTACCTGTGAAAGCGACATCAAAAATTCACTTAGCTACGTCAAGTCTCACACCTGTTGCACACTGAGAACAGTTGAATGCGCATGCTCCAAATTCGAAAACTGTTCCCAGTGCCAAAGCCGATAAAACTGTTCCCAGCTAAAGCAACGAGTAAAAACAGCTGATGAATGTTTTAAATTTTATAGTTTTAAGAAGAAAAAACAACCAAATTTTAATTGTAAATTTATATAATTAATTTAATAAACGTTTATTTGCATTAACATGCACAACTTTATAGATATATATTTATATATATTTTAAAAATTT